AAGCCATGTGTTACAGCACACGTCAAAAAGCAGACTGCCCAAATCACCTCAACTGTGGTAAAATGCCCTCAAATGGCTTATTAATTCTTTTTTTTTCTCAGAAAAACGGTCAATATGACAAAAAATAAACACCAATATTCACTAAATAGAAAAAATAAAATAGAAAATGGGATTCCAAACATGTATGATTGCCTTTCTTCTGCAGAACACATTTTGGACCAAACTGTTTTACCAATTGACTTTCATTGAATGGACAAACAAACAGAAATTAAAAACAAAAACCGAAATGAACAGTATGCCTAGTATGTTATGTAGCCTATTATTAAAATATGATAATTATTAGCTAATAAACCATGAATTCAAAACTGATGCTATGGATGTTCCAGGCCTTATTGTGCACAATTCATTGTTGAATATTATTTAAATACAGTAAAAAAAAGTACAACAAGGTTCAATTTATTACCATTAGTAAATAATAAACTGCATTTATTAATCTAGTTTAATTTTTTAAACCTACTTTTTTTGTTGATTTGTGTTTGTTCAAAATAGATTACTGGAACTGTTTCAAAATTCAACTCATTTCACCCCGATTCGTCTGACTTTTTCATTTTTCCAATCAATTCTCAATGGATAAACTTTTTTTCTCGTATACGCTGTTTTACGCTGATTATTAAATAGCACGGTTTTTAATGTGCTTACTCACTATTATACAGTGTCTTTAAAGGGAGTTCACCTTTAAAATGAAAATTTCTCTAGTTGTTCCAAGCCTGTATGCATTTCTTTCTTCAGCTGAACACAAAATAAGATCTTTTAAAGATTGTTGGTAACCAGAAAGTCGATGTGCCCAATTGACTTAAGTCAATGTTTCATCAACTGTGTGGTACCAACATTCTTCAAAAGATCCCGTGTTCAACAGAAGATAGAAACTCATACAGGTTTGGAACAACTTGAGGGTGAGTAAATAATGACAATTTAAATTTGTTTTGGGCGAACTATCCCTTTAAAAGTGGCTCATCCAATCTGAATTTACAGTCTGCACTATCTGCCTCATAATATGTGATTTACAGTCTAAATTGAGGAGAAGCTCTTGAGTAACGCTGGTCGGGATGATGTCCACACCCATTGGGTGAAGCGCAGGTCTTCCGCCTTGTGTCGTATCACTCGGGCTCTGTAAGGCTGATCTGTAATTTGGCTCTGAGATGCAGCTGGCTTCATCCACCACCTCAGAGCCACAATTAAAAACTGCAGAGAAGTGGCGAGCAACGCTCTGGAAGGAGGACCTTCTCTAATATAAGACACCCTAATGACAGACTGAGCCACCACAATGAGGATGAGCAGAGGGATGGAGGGGAGAAAAAGAGAGATAGAGAGAGAACAACAACATTGAATTGTGTGACCGCACACCAAATAGTTATGAACTAGCTAGAGGTCTTTCGTCTGATGTGTCAGGCTTGTGTTCTCCGAGACGCGTTTATTGTGGGAACGGAGAGCATGTAGAAACCCCGATTGGGATCAAATGTGGAGACCGCACTGGGTTTACCCGACCCCGAGCTACAGGGCAAAGGTCACGGGGTTCAGCGACCTGATCAACATTAGTTCTGCTGACAGTCTCTAAACGTTTCACCTCGATATGTGAACACATTCCTGGGGATCCCGTCACCTTTGTGCTCGCGATGTTGTTCGGAGACGATCTTTTGTCGAGCTGCGAGACGGTAAATATTGTCTCTCGCGTCTCCTTTCACACTATTAGCTTAGCCGTGCCACACGTCCCAGGGTGAATATTCAGATTTATGAATATTCAAATGCCTGCTTTGTGATGTGTTAGATTGTTTACTTATTTTCTACTTCATGACCTTAAAGAGTCACTTCTGCAGCGCTGGACTGGAATTAGCCGGTTGTTTATTTGACTGACGCTTAGCAAGCAGCAGGGTGATGTTTTTCTTTGCTTTGGTCAATCCGCTGGATTTCTCTCGCTCTAACATGCCCCTGTATATTTGGACAGACGTCTGACCCTTGTCTCCTGTAAATGAGCTGCTAATCCTTGTCGTGACTACTGTAAGCTGTTGCCCTCCCCTGGACAGAGGGGGCAGTGCTCCAAACACAAGACCCGGCTAGCTCACACTGTATTCATGTAACATGATACTTACATGGATCTTCAAAGGAATTAAAAAACAGTAATGTCATGGCACATTTTTTTTTTAGCAGTAATTTAAAAATATATTCATAATCATAATTTTTGCTACATCTATCAATACTTATTTAAATGAATAAATAATAAACAAAATATGCCTCATTAATTCATGTTCCTTGTGCATGATTCAGAGGCCGGCTTTTAACAATGCAATCAAATCCATCCATGTCCTACTCAACATTTTGTGTGATACTGACAGATTATGACTCTTCTATTCCCTATTACTGTATTTACAAAGTTTAGGTATGATTTTTTAAATGTTTTTGAAAAATCTCTTCACCAAGGCTCTATTTATTTGATTAAGAATAGAGCAAAAGTAATATTGTGACATTTTAAATAACTGTTTTGATGGCAAATCCAAATCAATTTAATTTGTTGATTTGCTGCTCACAGTTGAACACTGTTGTGCTGCTTAATATTTTTGTGGAAATGGTTATGAATTTTCCAGGATTCTTTGATGAACAGAAAGTTCAAAAGACATTTTGAAAGTCTTTACCTTCACTTTTTGATTAATTTAACTTTTGCTGAATAAAAGTATTACATTATTTTAGAAATTGATTAGAAAATACTAATATATAAATTCAATAATAAAAAAGATTTGCACAAAAATGTGAATGAAAATAAATTTACATGAATTTAAAAAAATAAATAAATATAAGAATATTTTAAATATTAAATAAAATAATTTGACATACATTTTCTTTCTTTTTTGATCTAAAAAAGATCTCTAATATCTGTTTTATAGGGCAGTTAACATCCAGCACAAAGATGTTAATCTCTCTCTCTCTCTCTCTCTCTCTCTCTCTCTCTCTCTCTCTCTCTCTCTCTCTCTCTCTCTCTCTCTATATATATATATATATATATATATATATATTTTTTTTTTTTTTTCTCAGACTAAACACTGTCCTGCGTTCCAGGCAAACTGATGCTTGTGACAATAAACCACAGTCCTTAAACACACTGTGGGACATCTGAGCATCCCGGCCCTTCTCTCCCCACAAACAATTAATCTCCACGAGTTTTCCATAGAACATTACATGTGGTGCACTGTTGTTTGCTGCATAATCGATTTACAAAAAGCCCCTGTCGCCCAAGAGCACACCACAGAATTACATTGTAAAATGATGAGAAAAGCTCAACGTTCACTACCAGACAGGCCATTAGTCCCATCACAATGTGACAAGAACACTTACAGCGGTCAGATTAACAAGGACTGGGATTTCCTACTGAAACGATTGAGGTTTAACAGCTGCAGACTCCCCTTTTCTGATTAAAAAGTATTTAACATGTACAGAGCAGATTTTTAGGGGAGAAATCTACAGAAATGTCTATGAATCCTAAATAATAAGCAAATCAGCCAAATATTCAGACCAACACACAATGGATGAGTGACAGGCATTCCAATCCTGCAGATATCTGGACCTGCATATCAGTATCAATATTAGTGTTCAGTAAAAATACATTTATCCACAAATGGTTAAACAATTGGTATTAAAAACTTAATAATTATTTAAACACACATACACAAACATATATATATATATATATATATATATATATATATATATACACACTCACCTAAAGGATTATTAGGAACACCATACTAACACTGTGTTTGACCCCCTTCAGAACTGCCTCAATTCTACGTGGCATTGATTCAACGAGGTGCTGAAAGCATTCTTTAGAAATGTTGGCCCATATTGATAGGATAGCATCTTGCAGTTGATGGAGATTTGTGGGATGCACATCCAGGGCACGAAGCTCCCGTTCCACCACATCCCAAAGATGCTCTATTGGTTTGAGATCTTGTCACTGTGGGGGCTATTTTAGTACAGTGAACTCATTGTCATATTCAAGAAACCAATTTCTGACTCTAGCATCTGAATGTCTCAACAGAAATCGAGACTCATCAGACGAGGCAACATTTTTCCAGGCTTCAACTGTCCAATTTTGGTGAGCTCTTGCAAATTGTAGCCTCTTTTTCCTATTTGTAGTGGAGATGAGTGGTACCCAGTGGGGTCTTCTGCTGTTGTAGCCCATCCGCCTCAAGGTTTTGTGTGTTGTGGCTTCACAAATGCTTTGCTGAATACCTCGGTTGTAACGAGTGGATATTTCAGTCAAAGTTGCTCTTCTATCAGCTTGAATCAGTCGGCCCATTCTCCTCTGACCTCTAGCATCAACAAGGCATTTTCACCCACAGGACTGCCACATACTGGATGTTTTTCCCTTTTCACATCATTCTTTGTAAACCCTAGAAATGGTTGTGCGTGAAATTCCCAGTAACTGAGCAGATTGTGAAATACTCAGACCGGCCCGTCTGGCTCCAACACTCATGCCACGCTCAAAATTGCTTAAATCACCTTTCTTTCCCATTCTGACATTCAGTTTGGAGTTCAGGAGATTGTCTTGACCAGGACCACACCCCTAAATGCAGTGAAGCAACTGCCAAGTAATTGGTTGTTTAGATAATTGCATTAATGAGAAACAGAAAAGGTGTTCCAAATAATCCTTTAGGTGAGTGTGTATATATAAAATGTGTTAGTAATTTTATATATCATTTTAAAAATAATTTTCTTTTTTTCCTGGTACGTTTAGTTTTTTGTATGAGAGCACATGTATTACAAGATATATGATATATAAGTCATAGAGAAAGCATACAACTATTAAAAAAATGTCTTCAATTAAATTATCTTAGTAGGAAATATGACATTTAATGAATTTAGTGATTATACTAATTAGAGCCCCTTACACATTGCATCATGTGAATCCGTTGAGCGATAACGTGCTCGGAAATAAACACAAGAAAGTGTGGTATTCAAAAACAAGGTACTTTATAGTTGATGTCAAAGACAAACATTAGAGCAAAGGTCCCAAGAAAAGTTCTATTGTAACAATGGAAAAACAAAGTGACAAAAATAATATGCATTTCTTACATTTTGTAAACCTAGAACTGTTCTCGAGCCACAGTGGTCACAGGTATTACTGGCTGATAAGTGTTTTTTCTTTCCTCCTTTTGGACAAACTGAAGAGATTTCTGACAAACATCTGGAAAAAAGCCCTTTGATGATTCCAGATGTTTCTAAAGGAATGACCCTAATCTTTTCCTAGTCTTCCTCCAGCCTCAAAAACAAATCCTTAGGAAGAGTAGAAAAAAAAAACCAACGAGAAAAGAAAGCAAAAGAAGTCACACAAACAGTCTAAAGTGTGACGTAGTGTGTAGTTCACCTAAAACAATGCTCTACATAAATACAATAAAGTCTATAGTCTGTATGTCACAAGTGCTAGATAACTTTCTTCTTCTTGTTGTTGTAAAATATTTAAAAGTCATTTTTCTTTCATTCCTTTTTTAAACAAGTAAAAAGCACATCCGTCGGACACCAAGAGCATCATTCCGTCTGCGTACTGACCAGAAACAGAGGAGGAAAGAAGAGCTTCCATCCCATGCGTTCTCCAAAGCCTCGACCCTCCCGTGTTCCTCCTTTGTGCAAATATGTTACAAGGACAGACAGGCATGCTGACGCACAAACCATGCAGAAATCTACAGCTGTGAAGGAAAGAGAATAAAAGAAACTTCACCCTGGCCTTCAAATAAACAACTGCTCAGGCCAGACCTCATGGCAAATTAGCAGGAATGACAAGAAAGGTAAAACGAAAAAAGAAGATTGGGAAACCAAATGGAATGCAGTTCGTTTTTTTTACGTAAAACAAGAGCAAAGAAAATGACTATCCGGGTGAACCAGATAAGAGTCCCTTTGACAAAGCTTTCGAAAGGCTGCCGTTTGTATTACCGTAAAGTGATCTGTGAGTTTGACGGCTGTCCGGTTTGATTATGTCGCTTTATATTTCAACTTTCAAATCAATGTCAGCCTTCGCACTTCATTCTTGAAAGTAAAGTCAGAAGACACTTGATGGACTTGGTTTTGATATGATCCTGCAAAAATGCCCAAAAAATAGCTCAGAAAGAGTAACAAGATGCAGATTTTACAAAACATAAGAGTCCCAAGAGTGACCGCATATAAATAAAACGCTTACATTTTCACAAAGTCATGTCCAGGTTGCGTTTCACCCTAAAATCAAAAGGAGGTAAATAAGAGATATTTTGCATTAAGAAAATGCTTATTTAAAAAGTCAATTAAGCATATTTTCATATCATAATTTATACTATTTGGTAATTTCGTTAATTTTTATTAAATGATTGTATATTTCATTATATTACATTTCTGCACAATCTTATGATAATTATTTTCAAACAATTCTTTTGGAAACTCTCCGTCCGCCATTGGTCGAACAAACCCCAAACTCACGCCATTGGCTGAGCCAGTGTTGCTTTGTGTTCTTGTGGCAAAATGCGATTTACTACATCCTTTCCTTTGATTTTAGGGTGTAACATGACCCGGATGTGTTCTTGACAGTTTAAAATAATTCAAAATGAAATCCATTTAAGATCACTGTCAGTATCTACTCTACTTGGTCTATCCAAATGGACTTTTACCAATTGAAATGTACAGTGTCAGTCAATAATATTTTTCCACGGGACTTTCGTATGAGAGTTTAGAAAGCACTCCGTCAAACTGAAGCCTGGAACCGCAAAGATCCGTTTGATCAAGAGTTTACGGCGCCAGAGTAATGCTACTGTGGATGCATGAAACCAATAAACAGTGCCTTCAGTGGAGCCAGACCATGTACTGAAATATATCACTTTGCAATCTTTATAATATATAATATATCTATAGATCTTTGAAATATAAATCTACTATGAACAGAACGTAGTAAATACACAATTGTCGTAATCATTATACAAAGTAAAAGCATCTCCCTCCCACCGCATACAAAAAACAAGATAAAACAACTTAAAAAAAGGCTTGTCACTCTCTAAAACAAGAAACTAAAGACTCGAGCATGTAAAACACATTGTCAACTACATAAGGACTGACAAATGAACAAGTACATAATCCAAAAAGTACAAAAAAATAATAATAAACGGGACAAGTGAGCTCACAAGGCAAAAGAAAAACGGACAAGAAAACAACGGGCACGAACCCAAAGTGGAGTAGTCATACGTGACAGGCATATACAAAAATGAAGTCGAGGAACAATGGCGACGGTGAGTCAAATCTCCCGCCTTAATGAGTCTCGTATTGAACATGACACACAGAAAAAGAATGCCAAAGGTAGTTGCCGAGAGGCAGGGGTTGTCAAACAAATCATCGCCTCCTCATCAGTCCAGAATCGAATAAAATTCAATGTACAATCAAAGTCAAGCCAAATGATCTACTTGTCAGCATGCATAATTGCGTATATATATATACAATTCTATGTGCCATTTCGAAGCGCCGGCGACTATGTCAATGTCCCATGCAGATTGTCTGAGTATCACAGTCTTCGTTTACGATTGTTTTCAGAGTGGAAGCTGGTGGTCCCGCTACTTCCTGGATTGTGTCATGTGACGAGCACATGTTCAGTAGCACCTGCCCCCCCTTAGTGAAAGGCCCCCCGCCGTAAACCCTCCTCGGCAGGAAACCAGCGCTAAATCTGACCAGGTGGCACGTCTGAAGGCTCAGTGGTACGTTTAAAATAACCGGTAACCAGCCCTTTTCCAATAAAACTGACCGTCTGCTGAGTCGCATAATAGTAGTGATACGCTAGTGCCCTTTGATTAACTGTAAAGTAAACCAGACATTCATAGCTATATAAAAGTACAACATGTCGAGAGAAGGAAAAATAGAAAGTTTGTCTCTAACTACAAATCGTATGACGCGTGGTCATCGCAGCCCTATCCTATATGCTCGCGGCTAGTGGGTTAACAGCAAACTCATGCTAGTCGGCGCCGCTAATCTACGACGCTTGAATTCCTAACTTGGCAGATGGAAAGCTGCATGCTGGTCAACCTTTCTTCTTCGTCGGAGGAAGAGGTGCGTATTTGGTCGTTAGAGTTGAAATGAGTCGCTACATTGGCTTGCCTTCTAAAGCGTTGGAGAATTCAACTAAATTTCGCCCTTGGATGGCTGGCAACTACCTTAAAGTTCGCTTGTCAGTCATGTAACATCCAACACAAGCACAGTTAAAAATGAAGGAACATAAAACAGGTCATAATGCATGTGAAACATGAAGATATCTGCAGGGAGTTCCTGGTAAACATGCTGAGGGTTTCTCCATTCTTTAGGCCAGCCTTGCGACAAGAAAAACCGAGGCGGCGAAACGTCTTCCCCTCCTGTAACTAGTTTAAGGCAATGTTCTTCTCGATCCGTCACGGAAACTCTTTTTTCGAAGGCACGAACTCAAATTGTCACTCTCAGGGCTTCCCAGAATCCTTCGCCCTCTCTCACAGTCACATCCGTCCACACCCTCGCGGGTCTCTCGTCATGAATGTCAGAAGCGGGAACTCGGATGGAGAATGGAACGAGTCACTTTTTTTTCTCCCAAAACCAAAAAGAAAAACAGACAAACAACAAATAAAAAAAGACGCAGGCCGCAACGAGACCCCACAGCCGAAATCAATCACGTGGACTATAGTGGCTCTGGAAAATATCGAAAAAAAAAAAAAAAAAGAGTTCATGTCGAAAGCACCAGCTCTCACATCTAACAATGAAACATGAGTCTATGTCCTGCTCGAATGTTGAATGTCCCTGTGGACAGACCAGGATGCACAATCCCGGACTTGCTGCCACGGACAGAGACTAACACGGCTGAGACGTTTGTCGCACTCTGGGTGTCACGGAGATTTCCTCAGGCCGTTTCGGATCCCGTGCTCAAAGTGCGCACATCGCGGGACAAAAAATGAAACGGATGGAGAGAGTAGAGTGACGTCAGAGGCCTTGAAGAGGCTCCGAGCTGAGAGGGTCACCAAGGCATTCGAGCGGACCTTCTACAATGGAGGTTCCTCTTCCATAGGCTCCTCCTCCGTCCTGTGGGGCGACACACACAAACCTTCTGAGTTACATCACGCATGAAAGGTTTCCACATTTTTTTTTTTACTTTTTTAAGACATTCGCGACATTAAATAGAATCACCCACTAAATATTTCAGAGTTGAGCATAGGTGCAAATTCATTTATATTCACCATTAATGTTCAGATTTTGTAATAATTATATATATATATACATATATATTTTTATTTTTTTCCCTAGACCTGGGAATCACAATTTTAAAATTCCAAAATGCTTCCAGGTTTCCTTGCCTCTGGGAACCCTGTACATGCGCACACACACACACACACACACACACACACACACACACACACACAGAATACGATTTTACTTTTACATTTTCAATTTTAGTTTTAGTAATTTTGTCTGATTTAGCCTTGTTTTTGCGTTTATTTATTTCAGAATTAGACATTTTAGTTCTTGAAGTTAAAATTATTTCAGTTAGTTGCCAAGGATTTTTTTTTTACATTTTCATCTAATACTTATATTTTATATATTATATATCATTTTCAAACTTAATTTAAATGAATAGCAGTAACATTTTTACACAAATATATTACACAAATTACTCAAAAACAATGTTTTAAAAAAGACCCATATTACTTGAGATCCTTCAGTAAGGAGAAGCTAAGATCATTATTTTACATATATATAATTATGGAGCCATTCACCTCAGTTACATTCCCATTGAACAATCAGTTTATGTGTTGATGCTAAGAGCAGATTTGACCTAGTATTTGACCTGTAGGGGGCACTGTAATTGAATTTATTAGGTATTCCTAGGGAATTTATATAGTATTCCATTGACAGCAGTATGTACAAAGTGTACAAACTCATTTCAGAAATAAATCATCACTTCCTGTTTGGTGTCCAATTTGCTGAGAATTATTACTTGAGAATAGTGTAAGACTACAAAAAAAATACACTTAGTGGATTCTGTGTCTTGGTCTGAATATGATCTAAACCAGTTTTGTAGGAGTAGTAGCGGCATAAAAAAATGCAAATTCATTTAAATTGACAGAAATGGTGCTTGCCATGGTGGAGATTCACAAAATTTGAATTTTCTGTTTAAGAATTTTGCAAGAAATCAGGAGGAAATTGAAACAACCAGACAACCAGGATCTAGAGATGAAAAAAAAAATCATTTTGTTTAAAAAGTTATTAGCAAAAACGTTGATGAAACTGTTGGTGACTCCAAAATTGGCACAAAGAGTTTTGGAGCTTCCACAATCAAGTGTGGCTGCCACAAACACCAAGCCAGAAAAAAGAAAATAGGAAAATTAAGTTAAAATAGGTGTCAATACAGTTTTGGCATTTGGCCCATAATAGGAATAACAGGAAATAAATGTGAGTTTGAACCCGTGCTGGGCATGCGAGAGTGTAAGAGTGTGTAAGGAAGGTCCAGAAACCTCAAGCATCTGTGCTCAATGTTTCCTGAGTGTTTTTAATCAGGACTCTGGCAGTGTGTGTGTCTCAGAAGCCTGACGCTGCTGGACGTCTGCCCCGAACCGGCCGCCTGCCTATCAAGGCTCAGGCACACACTTGTCCTGTACCTCTAGACCCCTCACACAACCATAAATACATGTGGGGGTCACATAAACAGACACACACAAATCCACACAGGAGGCCTGCTATGAGCAAATGTATGACACATTCCAGGAATACGGAAACAATTACAGGCTGAAACTAATTTTTAAGCAAATTCAATGAAATGAGGTAATTTATTATATATAAATTATATATTATAGTTTATATTTTAACCTTAAAATATATAATTTTTTAACAGTTAATAAAATAAATATTGGTAATTTTAGGTAAAACATGCTATTTGTGCCTTAACTGTTCTTTTTTTTAAAGTAATTGGACCCAAACTGTATTTGTAGATTGTGCCATATATCCAACACGCATACAAACTCAAATATAACTGCACCTCTTCCCCATGTGCTTGTTGGCCACAGACAGGGATGCCATGGCGGTCACCGTCTCTGCTTCTTCGGTTTCACATCTCTGAGCCTCCAGCAGAGAGTAGCCCAGAGTTGAGGCAGATCGCTCCAGCGAGCGCCAGTATTTACCTAGACACAAAACAAGCTCAAAGATCAGCCTTAAATATGACCAAAAGCTGTGAGATGTCAAATACAAATAGCATGAAAAGAGATTACATGCATGCCAGATTATGACTAAACAGAAGTCTAGTCATATTGCAGAATATTCTCACCAAAAACTGCCCACTTGAAGAGGAAGACACCTTATGATATGCGACCAATCACAATTAGTTTTGTTTTTACACTTTTTTCAGGGGCAAGTTTATCTAATAAACTATACTACAAACACAAAAACAAATCTTTTTTGAATGGTGTGTACAATATGCATCAGTCCATCAGTGAGTGAATCGTGAGAGTGTGTTTGCACTCACTCTGGACTTCCAGAACTTTCTCCATGGAGTGAATGGCATTGGGGTTCGGCCTCTGTTGAAGCACGTCTTCAGGAAGAGGATCCAA